GAGAGGCAAGGACCCGAGGGACAAGAGGACGAGTGACACGAAGGTAGTCAGACACTGGGGGAGGCGCAACAACAAGGGAGGACAGAGGAGGCAACGGTAGGAGGGGAGGACGAGACGCGTGCGAAGGAAGCAACATAGGGTGAGAGCGCGGGACAGGGGAGACGGGGTGAGCACGGGAGGGACGGCGAGACCAGACGTGAGATGGAGGAGTCGGGTCAGGAGACAGAGGAGGGGACACAGGAGGGGAACGAGGGGGAAGACGAGCCAGGGACGAGTCCGGGGGAGGGAACACAGGGCCGTAGACAGGAAGAGGAGGAGACGGGAGGAGCGGCACAGACGTGGGGTCAGGGGACGGAAGGCGGAGCAGGCGAAGGGCTGACACCGGCAGCGACTGCTGCTGCCGCGGCACGACACCAACACCGGGACCGCAAGCTGCTCCACGGCTACCTCCGGAACACTCCACTCCAGCACCCCCAGAAGGAACACCCCCAGAGCCCGAAACTCCTCTAGCACCGGTACCACCCCCAAACCCGCTAGGACAAGCCACAACAGGAACCCCAGGACTAGTACCCATCGTGATGCCAGCACCCCCAGAGTCAACAAACTGCTGCTGTGACTGCTGCGGCGAGGGCTGCGGTGGTGGCGGCTGCAACGACGGTTGCGGCGGCGGCGGCTGCAACGACGGCTGCGGCGGCGGTGACGGCAACTGCGACAGCGGCGGCGATGGCAGCTGCGGAGGCGGCGGAGGAGGAGACACCTGGGGAGGGGCAGGCAGCGAGGATTGCGCCGCATGGCCACCAAAGTCAGCAGACTGCTCGACCGGGACAACCGACGGGAGGGGGGTGATGTGAGACACACCAGACGGTGCAGGACGGGGAGGGGGAGGGGGAGGGGCATGGGCGATTGGGGAAGGGGGAACTAGGAACAGTGGGGGAGTAACCGGGGGACCACGGTGGGGGAAGCGGTGGTAGAAGGAGACCGACTCGTCAAATGTGACGTCACGCGAGTGAAAGTTACGGTAAGACGGCAGGTGGTAGAACTGCCAGTCAGACGAGTCGAGGGGGAAACCTAGGAAGACACAGGGGAGGGTGCGGGCAGTGAGCTTGTCCGTGCCAGAGGCACGAACGAGAGCAAGGCAGCCCCAGACGTGGAACGCAGACACGGCACCAGGAGATCCGGACCAAAGAAGGGTCGGCGAAACCTGCGGCTGCTGGGGGTGCGGCCACAGGTTAAGCTGGTGAGCGGCGTAGCGAACGGGGAATGGCCACAGAAAATGGGATGCATCGGCACGAATCATGGAGGTACGAGCCACCTCCATGACCAAACCGATGCGTCGCTCAGCGACCCCATTCTGCTGTAGGGAGTCCGGCAAGGTGAACGTCTGGGTGATGCCCTCCGCACGACAGAAACGACCAAGGACACCAGAGGCAAACTCGCCACCACGGTCGGAGTGGAGACGCAGGACAGGGAGACCGCGGTGGACACGCGCAGAGACAAGCCACGGGATGAGGACGTCAGGCACGTCAGCCTTCCGCTCAAAGGAAAACACCATGGTGTAGCGCGTGTACTCGTCGACAAGCATAAGGAAGTAGCGCCCTCGGCGCGGCCCATGGACTGGGGCGGGGCCCCAGAAGTCCTTGTGCAGGGTCTGTAGCGGTGCGGCGGTGGGGGGGAACGAGGAGGAATGAGTGGCACGGCGGAGTCGGCCCTCGACACAGGGCGTGCGCGGTGGTGCTAGGAAGGAGGGCAACTTGGGGAACGACCCTGGGAGACCTAGGACAAAACCGTGCTGTGACATGTGACGCAAACGCGGGAGGGCAGGGTGGCCTAGACGATGGTGCCACTGGAGTGTCGGGTGAGTAAGCGACCGACAGGAGCAGGCCGCAGCAACCTGGGTAGACGCAGCCACCTGAGGCGACGTCCCAACCGGGGGGGTCGCGGTGTCCAGTGTGAACAGGCCGGACACCGGGTCCCGGGGGAACGTGGTGAGGGGGACACCAGTGGCGGCCTCGGTACAGACAGCGTACCGCTCGTGACCAGGGAACGTAGTGGTGTCGCCAAGGTCCTGGAGGTAGCCGACACCAACTAGGTTCCTGGAGAACGAGGGGAGGTGCAAGCCTGTAAGAGAGCCAAAAGGAACTGCCGGACAGGGAAGGGTGGTGGAACTGCGGGCGACTACCGAGCCGAAGGAGGGGTCAGCAAGGGAAACTGCGACAGGTGCCGCAAGTGGCGTCAGCGTAGTGGAGTCGCGGAAGAAACACCGGGAAGCACCAGAGTCCAGGGTGAAAGAGAGCGCAGCAGTGGCGGCCGGAGTCGGAGCAGCGTGGGAAGAACCAAGGCTAAACAAGGCAGGGCATCCTACGCCTGACGCAGCAGGGGAGGCAAGACTAGACACGCCTACACTAGGCAACAAGGGGTAGTAAGAAACAGTCACACTAGAGTCATCAGCATACAGCACATATAGGGCAGAACCAAGCTCATCCATGTCCATATCAAAGATCGGAACACTACGGCGAAGCAAGCTGTGCCAGTCGGGGAGGTCAGGCGACGGGCCGAAGCGCTGACGAAACAGGTCGTCCAGGCAACGGAAACAGCGGACGGGGGAGTGACCGATCTTACCGCAAACGAAGCCACGTCGAGGACTGGTCTGGAGCTGGTACTGACAGCGCCCGTCACCCGAACCGCCACCCGACTGCACACCACGGGCATGACCACCACGGCCAGCGCCACCACCAGCGCCAGGCCACCCAGGCGGGAGACCACTCGGCCGCCTCTGCTGCTGCGGCTGGTGCTGGGGCTGCTGCTGCGGCTGGTGCGGGTCCGGCTGCGACGCCGGCGGCTGCTGAGACGGCTGCTCGGCTGCACTAGGCATGGTCCCCTTGTTAGCACTACCACTGGACGACCCGACGCCACCACCACCTCCACCTGCACCACCACCCCCACCGCCGCGCCTAGCCTTGGGGCGACGACCCTTCCCCGGACGGAACTGTGCTGCAGCTGCAGTCTAAGCCTCAGCAGCAGAACCGTCGGAGAAGGTGCACTGAGCAGGGGCACAACCTTGGTAGATAGGGACCGGCACAGTGCCGATGGTCTGGGCGATAGAGCGCTGGCGGGTCTCTATGGCAGACAGGGTGTCGACAAATTCAGTGAGGGTGAGGTCACTTGGGTGGATGCTAAAAAAGCGGTCGCGGGCAGTGGCAAGATGGTCAGGGAGGCAGGTGGCAAGCAGGTAGAGGGAAGAGCAGAGGGGCGGCTGAAAGGCTCTAAGCTGGGTCTCAGTACAGGCAGAGCGCCAGGTCGAGTCTATCGTGCGCAGGTGAGCGGCCAGGTCAGCGACAGTAGGGAAAGACGCAAGGTCAGGGAAGAGCAGCGGTAGGATCAGGCGACCTACAGAGGCAGTGGGCGGGGTGGAATAGCACTTGACAACGGCATCTAGGAAGTCCTGCGCAGTCGTGACTGGCTGAAAGGGGGGGCGCTCAGACAGGGGGAGGGCATGAGTGATCGCGAGCTACGCGACGGCATCAAGCGACAGCCAGACTGAGCGGGCAAGGGCAGCAGCTGCAGCGGACTCACGGTCAGCGGATGAGGGGTCAGCGGGTAGGGGAGCAGGGGGGTCACGGCAGGGAAGCGTACCCTCAAGGTGGACAGCCAGGGAGTGGCCGTCCTGCCGCTGACCAGTGAGATGACGGCGGAGGTCGACCAGTGAGATGACGGCGGAGGTTGACCAGCCACGTGTCGAACTCAAGCGGCTGACCCTCTGCGTCGAAGCGGAGCACGGCGTCCGCCATCAGGAGCGATGCAGCAGCGAAGCAGTGCTGTGCAGTGTGGTGCAGATCAGTGCTGTGCGGTGCAGTGCGGTGCAGGGGGGGGACGAGCGGTGCAGAGCGATGCTGTGCGGTGCAATGCAGTGCAGAGCGATGCCGTGTGGTGCAGTGTGGCGCTGTGCGGTGCTGTGCGGTGCGCGGCGACAAACTGGGCACTGGGGGGCGGCGGCGGGCCGGCTGACGTGGAACGGTTGCGGGGCCGGCCAGGAACGGGCGCGGGGCCGACGAGGGGCTGGCACGGGGCCGATCAGGAACGGGCACGAGGGCCGGCTAGGAACGGGCGCGGGAGCCAGCTAGGAACGGGTCGAGGGGTCGGCTAGGAACGGGCGCGGGGCCGACTAGGGCGGGCGCGAGGGCCGGCTAGGAACGGGCGCGGAGGCCAGCGAGGAACGGGAGCGGAGGCCAGCGAGGAACGGGCGCGGAGGCCAGCGAGGAACGGGCGTGAGGGCCGGGCGGAACGGGCGCCAGGGCGGCTAGGAACAGGCGCGCGGGGCCAGCTAGGGGCGGGTGCGAGGGGCCAGCTGGAACGGGCGCGAGGGCCGACTAGAACGGGCGCGAGGACCAGCTAGAACGGGCGCGCGGGTCCAGCCAGGAGCGGGCGCGAGGGGCCAGCTGGAACGGGAGCGAGGGCCAGCGAGAACGGGCGCGAGGGGCCGGCAGGAACGGGCACTAGGGGCCGGCGAGGAATGGGTGCAAGGGCCGGCTGGAACAGGCGCGAGGGGCCGGCTAGAACGGGCGCGAGGGGCGTCTGGAACGGGCGCTAGGGGCCGGCTGGAACGGGCGCTAGGGGGCTGGCTAGAACGGGCGCTAGGGGCCGGCAGGAACGGGCGCTAGGGCCGGCTGGAACGGGCGCGAGGGGCCAGCTAGGAAGGGGCGCGGGGCTGACGAGGGGCGGGCAGGGGGGCCAGCTAGGAAGGGGCGCGGGGCCGACGAGGGGCTAGGAACCGGTGGCTGGGACCTAGGGCGGAAGCGTGGGTGGGCGGTGGGACCTAACCTACTCGTGATACCATATCAGAATTGAAGAATGAATAGAAGGAGAGAGTACACGGGTATATAGCCTAGAGTGTTGTACCCTCTAAGGCACAAACCTATATTGTCTATACTAACTTACTTTGATATGTTTGACACTTATAGTTCAATGCCAAAAAACGGGTCCTCACGAGGACTGCCAAGATAAGTGTTTTCAGGTCCGGATGGACTCTCTTACCCACGGGTGCTTTATCCGGGAGATTACGGTATGTCTAACAACAAAAGCATGAACCCAAGGGTTCCAAATCAATATGATGCAAATATCACAGGCAGAAAGATGCAGCCGCATCCATCACGGGGTCGCGATGTTCCCAGCAGACGAAGAGGCACTCAACCAATGCCAATTGATACACTGATATGCCACACTTGACAACCATGCCCCAATTTCTCCACCCCACAGCATCAACACACCGGCAACTCAAACTGCAGTCAACATGCCAAGCAGGTATGAGTGTGATTCACACTTCCTGCTTTGCCATTTCTCAAACCACTTGCTCCACCCTGCTGCTGCCTCTGGCTTTGCCTAGCAGCTGCCCCTCCAGGTGCACTAGCCACTCCAGCGCCTGCAGCAGCAGGCACAGCACCCACAACTCGGAAATGCTGGCCTGGAACAGGCCACATGGCACCAGCTGGCTGGCTCTGGCCCTGCCACGTAATCCAGTTCCGGGGTCCCCCAGAGGTGGTTGGAATGAGGTGAGCACGTGGGGGAGGTGTGGGGTAGGGGTGGAGTGAGGAAGGATCGGGATGGAGTGAGGAGGGATGCGGATGGCTATGGGGATGAGAGCGGGAAGCACCATCAGGGGCCGCACAGCAGGGTAAGAAGCACGCAGTGAATGGGAACATGGTGGGATGATGGGGGGCATGTGGGGACTGGCGGAATGCACGATGGGGGGGTGATGGGTGCATGGCGAGTGGGAAAGAGGAGGGTAAGGCTGAGAACGCTGCTCGAGATGACGAAGAGGGGCTGATGTGAGGGGGGAGAGGGAGAGCAGGAGGAGGGGGAAGAGGAGGGGGAATAGGAGGAGGAGGAGGGTGGAAAGAGCTGGTTGCATGCCCATGAGGTGTAGATGAGGGTCGTGGAATGGAGGTGGGAGTTGCAGAGGAGCAAAAGGAGGCGTTTAAGGAGGAGGTGGAATGAGAATGCAGGAGGAGAGTTGAGGTGGCACGTGAGCGGGAGGGAGCATGAGAGACTGAGGCTGCAGGAAGGGTGGATGTAGAGGAGGAAGGAGACGAGGCAGGGAACGGGCGGGTGGAGGCGGGTGCGGATGGGGTCATGAAGAGCAGCTTGGCTATCACACGGTCAAAGGCCTTAGAGTCGGGAAGGGATGAGTTGCAATGGTCCTCCTGTGAAGCCTCTTGCTGCAGTGCCTGCTCGTCCTGCTGTTGCACCTGGGCTGGACCCTGCTGCTTCGTGCAGGCAGCAACAGCAGAGGGGGCACTGTCAGCAGCAGCCGGTGTAAGAGTCTCCAAACCTGTCGGAGCTGAGAGAGTTGCTGCTTTGGTAGCAGCAGGACCTGTGGCAGCAGGACCTGTAGCAGCAGGACCTGTAGCAGCAGGACCTGTAGCAGCAGGAACTGTAGCAGCAGGACCTGTAGCAGCAGGACCTGTAGCTAAGCCAGCAGCAGGCACAGCAGCAACAGGAGTTGCCTTTGCGGAGGCAGTAGCAGCAGCCGCAGCAGCAGAGTCAGACGCAACATTGCCAGGAGCACTAGGTGCGTTACCAACAGCAGGCGCATCACCAGCGGCAGCACCAGCAGCCGCAGCAGCGGATTGTGAGATGGCACGGCTCTTAGCGCTGGTGGCAAGGCGAAGAAGAGCATTGCAAATGCAGACACGGGTCGAGGAATCAAGCTGCAGGGAGTGGGTGTGGGAGAGAGACAAGGGAGATCACATACTTAGAAGGCGTAACAGATTCGAAAAAAGTGGCATCTGCACAAAGAGGGAGTAAAGTGGGAGTGCCGAACCAGCACCATTGCCAGGCACCAAAACGATGGTAGCATAGCAAATGGCAAAGGTAGTTGACCCTCACCTGAGCAATGGTAGAGTACAGTTGGCCCAAGGCAGCAGACTCGACATCCATGTCTGCATGCTCGCACTCCATTGAACCAGCTCTTTCAGCTGTTGGCCTTCCTCTTCCTGCTGACCCTCCTGCTGACATTCCTGCTGCTGCAAAAGCAGCACGCTGCATTGAGGGCTCCTTCTCCTGTGACCTATCCAGCTCTGACTTCACAGCCGCCTCTGCCATCGTCGCATCCCCCGCCTTCACTGCCACCTCAACCTCGACTGTATCCTCTGCCTTCAACCGTTTGTTTGGCCCCTCTCCACCTGCATCCCTTCCCCCTTCGTCCACCTCCTGCTGTGCCTCACGGGCCCTCTTCCCCTCCTTACAGTCACGTCCACCACCCTCAGCATTCGACCGATTTTCACATGAGTCCGTTGCTCCTGCTGCTGCGGGCGCGGTGATGGTGGCAGCTGCACATGGCGACGACACATTGCCTGGTGTTCCAGCTACAGGGCCGGCTGACGACACATCACCTGATGTGCCAGCTGCAGGGCCGGCTGACATGGTACATGATGTGCCGGCCGGCATGCCAGGAGGAGGAAGCATGGGCGCAGAAAACGTGCAAGGGCGGTTGTTGCTGCCGATGTTGGCACTGCTGAGGGCCATGTCATCCCCGCTTGCTTCTTCCTTCACGTGCACCACAGCTTGCTGTTTCGTCTCGCTCGTTTCGTGCTCGCCCAACTGCTGCTCCTGCTGCTCCGCTTTCAGCAGTTCCTTCTGCTTCGGCTGCTGCTGCTGCTTCTGCTGCTGCAGCCGCATCATCTGCTGCTGCCGGTGAAACAAGTACATCTGCCGCCCCAGTAGTTGCTGCTCGTGCTGCGGGTTAATCCCCTGCTGTCCCTGGTGCAGCCACATTTGCCGGCACATCCAACCAGCGTGTTGGGAACCTTTCGCGCTTCCAACTGCCCCTGTTGCTCCACGCTCTGCGCCCATGTGAGCAACTGCCGCAGCAGCAGCAGCAGCAGGAGCAGAAGCAGCACCTGACGCAGTAGCTGTATGTGCACTTGCAGCAGTTACTGCCGGTGCTGATGCTGCTGATGCAGCCGCTGCAGCTGACGCATAATTCCTACTCGCCTGCAGGTTCGGCTGGTAGAAAAATGCAGGAGGGTATTGGTGACCCATTCTGCCTCCGGGGAAGGGCATGGGTGTGGTCATGCTGCCCCCAGGGAAAGGCATGTGAGCAGGCATGCGGGCGGGCATTGGGCTAACGCCAGCCATACCAGGAGCACCTGCTGCATATGCGTCTGCAGGTGCGTTCACTGCACCAGTAGATCTGGTGGTTCGACCTGGTGTTGACACCTTGGCTGCAACAGGTGCTGCTCTGGTGCTGGCAGTGGCTGATACGCCAGCAGCGCCAGCACCCACCGCCTCACCAGCAGCGCTTGAAGCAGCAGCAGTACAACCAGCAGCAGCAGCAGCGGAAGCACTGCCAGCGGAGGCTGTTGCACCAGCAGCGCCAGCCAAGAAGCTCGCTGGCATGGGGGGAAGGGGAAGAGCAGAAGCGGGATAGACCTGGTGGTAGTTGGCGAAGAAGGGCAGGCGCGGATAGGGCGGCAGACCTCGCTGCGCAGATGGCGTAGGGAAAGGAGGGGGAGGAAATGGGAGGCCTGCAAGTGGGAGGCTCGGTTGAGAGGGGTACAGGATGGTACGGTGGGTGGGAGGGAGAGCAGCTGGGAACACGCGGGGATGGGAGGGCGATGGGGACGAGGTCCCGGCGGGAACAGATGGGGAGAAGGCGGGCGCCGAGGGGACTCGGCGCAGCGGTGACAGCCTGCGAGCAGCAGTGCAAGTGGACCGGGCAGGAGTGGCATTGGGCGTGATGGTGGCAGTAGTGGTGGCAGCGGTCATAGCGGTCGTGGCAGTAATGGCAGCGGTGGCAGCAGTAGCAGCAGTAGCAGCAGCGGGCGATGCAGCGGGAGGTGCGGTGGAAGAGAACGGAGCAGCGCGCGTCCCTGAGGACGACACAGGGCTGGCCTGCTGCTGCTGCTGCTGTTTCCACTGAACCTTCTTCTGCTGATTCTCCTCTTTCGACCGGATCACAGCATCCCGCGTGGCCTGCACATCACACAAAGAGAGTCGCCTCGTCAGTCACACCAGGCGACGCGCCAGTCTCCCTCAGACGCACGCAAATTCTTAGCCGATCTGCACACAACGTCGTAACCCCTTTCAGTCAACCCACCTGCAGAAGTGACAGCCGTTGCGGAATGCTGTCGCGTGGGGGCGACGGCGACCGAAGTGCAGACGCGGAAGGAATTCTCTCGCTCGCACAGTACGCGCCAGCCGCGACAGGAGACCCCACGACCCTGTCGCGACGACCGCTCTCCAGCCCACCTCCCTCCGCCGTCTTGCAAACCGGTTCCTCCGCGGCGACAACAGCAGCCGGACGCGCCTCTCCAGCTTCCGCAGCAGCCGCCGCAGAAAGCGCCGCACCTTCCGCGATATTCGCATTCTCGCCGTCGCCTTCGTCGCGGCGTTCTTCCAATCTGCATTCTCTGCCTTGGCGCTCCTCGTCGAATTCCATGGCCGCGCCTTCCCAGAGCAGCTTTTCCGCGTCCGCCGGAGCGGCGGAAGCCGGAGCTGCGGAGGCCGCGGAAGAGTGAATGTGGGAGAGGATTCCCGCAATGGAGGCTTGAACTAGATGCTGGCCCTTCGCAGAGCCAGACTGGGCATGCTTCGCACTTGGCTGGTACGAGGATCTGATGCGGGGTGGAAAGAACAATGGCAAACAGTGGTAGAGGATGGAATTGAGCGAAATGTCCCACATTCAATGGACAAGTTGTCCCTGGAGAAGAGGGAACCGGAGAAGAAAGAGCGAGATGCGACGAAATGCTGGCTGAAATGGGAAACGCTAATGACACGGCATATGCCATGCCTCACCTGAGAATTGCCTCGAGATTGCCGGTGTGGTCGCGAGCATCCCACGACGCGCCAAGAACGTCGTTTTCCTCCAAAAGGTCGCCATCCATGTCGCCTTCGCACTGCCCAGCCAAACCTTCGCCGTCGGCCACGGCATTTCCGTCAACGACATTTGTCATCTCCAGCAGCGGGAAATCATCCGTGCATTCAGCAGCTCCCATGAAAACGCATTCGTCCATGTCTTGAGCGAACTGGCCGTGGGATTGAGTAGCGCCAGAGGCTTTCGAGGTAGACGCGTCGTTCGGGGTACCAGGAGCGAAAATTTCGGACCTCCCGCTTTCAGTCGGCGACATGTTGAAGCGGGAATTGTCAGTGTGAGGATAAGCGTGCTCGGTGGATGGCCTGGAAACTTTCTGCTCGTGTCTGTTATTCTCCAAGTGGTTCTCCAGGTGTTTCTCCAGGTGCGTCATCTGAACAGCTGTCCCGTGTGAAGCGGCGTCGTGCCCTGCAGACGGTTCCTCAGCACCGAACGCTTCCCACACTCGGTCATCGAACTGCAAGATCGGAATGATCAGAAACAAGACGGGGCGAAAGAAGCTTGTTGTCAGCATGAGGCGTACCGACATGAAGGCCGGGAATTTCCGAGAAATGTGACTCGGTAAATGGCAGAAGAGCAGTAGCATAAAATGTGGCCAGTTATAGCGTCGACATCTGGTTTTGCATGTCATGAAAACTGCAAGAGCACAAGTTTCTTGGAAACCGCTAAGAGAATATAAACGACGAGAATCTGATGAATGCTATGCGAAGGACATTAACCGAACAGGATTGAGAGCACTTCTCACCAATGGAAACCCTTGAATTGCTACGTCTCCTTCGTCTGACGGCCAGATTGGCGTGGCCATGCTTTTCTTTGTTCTGTTCCGTCAGTGACGAACCCGAGAAAAAAATCCGTTATGAACGGAAGAATCAGAAGCGAGTTCTCTGCGGAATCAAGCTACAACAGAAGTGAAAGCAGCAAGAAGTGCGTTGAAAATCTGGTCGAACGTTGAGTTCAGCTTCTGTGGAATTTGCCAGTGACGCTGAGCTCGTGGCTGTTCAAGAATGCCATTCATACAGAAAATTATCATCAACATTTCATCTGACAAGCTGCTCCAAGACTGTGTCTGAACTGAACTGACGGGTGGAGCTGGAGCTCCTCTTCACCCGTGCGAGAAGGTTCTTGCCTTGATGAAGTGGGTCCCTTCAGCAGAACGCTGGCGAAAGGATTTAGCTGTCAACAATCGCACGCGATATGGCAGCGATTTGTGGCACGAAAGAGCTTTCCCGATTACAAAACAGTCGCGAAAAATGTGCGACGGGATATGCTCAAACGAGTCCCTTCGCGACGAAACAAGGGCTTGGACGGACCGACCAACGTGTCAGATTGCTTGGCTGTGCTTGCCCGGCTACAGTAGTTTACAGTAGGATCAAACAGTTGTCCTACCAAAATCTGCCTCTTGAGGGAAACAATCTTCCAACAAGATCGGAAAGAATGGAGGGCTCTTTTCTTTTCATTTCATTGACTACACCGCCAGTGGGATAATTTCCCAGGCCCCAGCCGGCGGCTCTAAAACATTTCCGAGGACAGTGTACAGAGTACACGAAATATACCTGCTTCCTATATGTCACAACCACGTTTGTTCATAACCGTAATGAAGGTATGAAGGGGAGGGGAGGGGACCCTCCACCAAACCGTCATTCTGCCTCTACGGCGTTCTGTAGAATAAGGCAAACCACCTGGCAGACAGACTTCAAGTGAGTGGCATCTGACAAAAACTGCTCATTTCACACTCTTCACCTGCTCATGATTGCCTCCACGTGGAGAAATTTCCATTTGTGTGTGCTGTACACCCAGGATTCTGGGACTGCCCAAACTAAATGAAAACAAGGAAAAATTGGAGGCGAAACCAAATGAAGAAAGAAATCCAAGTCCAAGTTGCATGTCTGTGATGGTTGGGCCGCAATCTCGGTAAGGTTTCGTCCAATCATGAAGGGCAGGACCGAAATGCCACGGGGCAGAACTGCTCACATGGCTGTCGCCACCATCACCACCAGCTCGAAGAAAGGACATCTCACACAGGCCGCAAGAACAGAAGTGGGCAGCCAGAGTGCGAGGGGGAGATGCCCCCGTACAATCCCCCAACCCCCCCCCATCATTCCCACTCGCCTCGCTGCGAGCCACCCCGCATCGGGAGGAATGAAGGTGACAGCTTGATGGAAAATGCCCTCAAAATGGGCACCTTGGGGGTAGTAAGGGCGTGCCCCCAAAAATCGTTCAGGCAGAATACCATATTCCACCGTTCTACATTTTTGTTTGACCGTTTTAGAACGTAAAGTATCTTAACAAACCGCAATCGGACGTACTTTGATGACATACCCTAACCAGACTCTTGAATTGGACGGAAGAGTCCTGCTCTTATATGCATAATTTGAGCTGGTGTTAGTGGTTCCAGGTGCTTCTTCCACCCATAAGCAACAGGTCCACGTTTGGAAATTCGTAGACATGCGCTGGGCTACACGCAACTGGAATGCTCCCTGAATCACTGATGACTCCAAAAATGGTCATGTTCTGGACCCTACTACTATCCCGCGATTTCAGCCCTACCGTACCGTACGGTTCTGACTTTTGAATTCCGGTTCTGAGGTTTGAAAACTCCTAACCAGGCTGGAACATGCAGTTCCGAAACCAGGTCTGTCCGAAAACCTGACCTGGTACAGAGCTAGCGAAAGTAACGAAAGTTACGAAAAGTGGGCAACATACGTGACTTCGTTCAAATTCCGCCAAACTTCGAAATGCTCCGCGTGCCAATTTAAAACCGTTGGCCCAAAATGTACAAGATAAATAAAAATGAATCAGGCAAAAAGTTGAGCTGGAGAGAGAATAGGGGCGTGGAGTAGTGGTGTGAGGGTGGCAAGAGTGCGAGCACAACACATTACGAAAACCAATCAGAACGAGCAAAGAAAACTAGAACAGGTTCCAGACATTCGCAAACGACGACTGGGGGGAATCGAGGTTCGGGAAAGGGAAAGCGGGGGCGCGCGCAAGGCGCAGGGGGGAGTGGGGGAAGAATACCAGAGCAGCAGAGCGGCACATGGCACGGACTGTATGTGGTGCGTGCGAAGGGGTTTCCTTGTCAGGGGCGTGATTTATTGCTCCGTTCCAATCCATGTTTCCAGGTCTTGTTGGTTTGAACATGCACCACGAAATTGTCTGTGTCGTTTTTCTGTATTAGTTACTACTGCAACGCAACTACATAATTCGCGTTGAACACGTCCCGTAGGGCTCGACTGTGGGCTAGGTTTTGCTCTCCCAAAAGTCTCAAATTGTATGCGCGCGCTTTCAAGTTTCATGCTGCTCAATCGCCAGCTGTGTCGGGGGCTTGTGCGGAATATGTTGGGGGTGGCGCGCGCGCTTCTTCTGAATTCCGTTGTTTTTGGCTGCGAATTCTATTGCAACTCTCGCTTTGGGGTGCTGGGTTACTGCTTGGGGGTCTTCAAGGTTAATGATCTTGAAACACAATTTCTGCAATTTGGGTTAACGGCTTTAAATGGCGGTTGCGACACATGCGTCTGAGTAATATTTTCCGCATGGATAGCTGTTGGGGGAGGAATGTTGCGTGCTTTCGCCGCTATCGCGAAGCGCATGGGGTGTCATAGAATACGGTTCGTCGATTTCGTCAGCGCTACAGTGTGGTTGACCAATCGGCTTTGGAGGGGAGGCTGTTCGGACAGCGCTGTTCGGGCGGTCTTCGCTACTCTGGATTCATTGAAGAACGTCGATTCGCATAAAACCTGACGAGGACCTTAACGAAACCTTACGATTCGCGTAACCACAAGTTTGTCTGAACAGCGGCCAGTCCCGGAACCATAGGTTCCACGCCCTCAAGCCTGCCCAAAAAAGGTCGTGTACATCTAGCCTGTTCCGAACCTCAACTTCCATAGCACCACGCAAGAGCCCGACAATTGAGCAGCCTGGACGACGACACGAGATGGGACGTGACGGGACGAGGCGGGGAGAAGGAAGGAGGCCCGAAGACACCCCTCTTCTCTTCCAAGCTGCTCCAATCCAAGCTCTGTTTGTCTAGTTGCACTGCTCTGACAGTCCTGCTGGATTCGTGAATCACACAAAACGAGGGCAGTCCTGCAGCATTGAGAGAACGTGGACTGTCCATGTCCAAGGCAGCCGTGTCCTGCAATCTGCCCGTGAGATCTCCGGCTGGAAGACAGCTGGCGACAATCCTGGTCATTGTTTGTATCGCACGTCCTTGACTTTTCGTACTATTCACTGTCCGAAGCTTCCAGTTGCATTGCGAAAGCGCGCCGGAACGAGGAAAGAACGAACGAGAAGATGCACTAGAAATCCGGGAACTGATTGCTGAGGGGGTAGTCCACGCCCGCAGAAGACCTGGAAGGAGATTGTTCCTTCTGCTCCAGAAACTACGCATGCGCTGACGGTCAAGAGTGTACCTACGGTCAAGAGTGTACCCGACATTCCTACCCTTCCTGAACCTAGAATTGTTTCTTGCACTGTAGTCTTGATCCTTCCTTCTCCGCGACCTTCTCGACTTAGATGCAGTTCAGATCTGTAACCGAATGGTCGTCATGAGCGAATATCTTCGTGGGTGCTGTGTTCAGCCCGTGGACTACGCCAGAAGCCTTTTCGCTTAGCTTGCTGTCCAGATAGGTTGACCGAGACCCAGAAAACGAGCCCGCTGTCTCGCCATTCGTCTTGCTGCTCTCTGAATCGGGATTCCGGGTGGCCAGGCGCTGCTGAAGTGTCTCGCGCTGCTGATGCTCTGCGTCCAAAGCTATTTCTTGAGTCTAGCTCAGAGGACGTGTTCTAGAGGTCGCATAGCATAGTGGGAGAGGAACGCGGATGCGATTTAGCCGGGATGCTGGTCTCAACAGGGAAGTGCAACGCAACTGCGGACGATGGTTTTGCATCTAAATGGGAAACTGGTACTGTAACAGACAGCAGTTTCGTGGGCAATTATTACACCATACATAACCAAAATATTAGGTCCTCGCGAGACCTCAGAATAGCAAGCCCGTGACCTGACGTCAAGCCAACGCACAATAGAACGAGAAAGCGGCAGACCAATCCGCAGTTCGCGCTCAGTTCGCCGCCCTGTGAGGTTCGCCAGAAATAACTACTACCAGAAAAGCAGGTTGTTAGATCATAGAAAGGCGACGCCCTGGGATAATTTGGGAGTCCCAAGCACAGTTGCGGTTCACCTTGATCGCTCACACTCAAAACGAATGTACAGTGCACTATGCTATTTCTGGCTGTGATACGCCTATCTAATCAGAAAATGGAAGACAAATGGAATGCATACCGTATCTGCTGCCACCTGTGGAGTGTGTGAATCCCCTCTGCCATGCCTTTGTTACATATGCATCAGATAATTAGTTTATTGAGCACTTGAGAGGAGAAAGGAACACTATTAGCTAGCTTGACTTGACACACATTTCCTAAACCAAAGAAGTCTGAGACACATTCCGCTCACTAAAATTCTGGGGCAGCAGATCCTTGCGGGTTATGATGCCCATGACATGAGTTGGCTTGGGAACCACACAAAGGTGCCGAAGGCCCAACTGTCTAAAGAGCATGTATGCCTTGTTGAGAGACATGCTCTCAGGCACAATGTATGGTGATCTGTTGGCCAAAGGATGCAAGTCCAGGAACATGCCTTGCTCCTCTTCAGTCAGCTCAATGTCCTCCAGCTTCAAACCCTTCCCTGATCCTGGCTTCCCAAAATCCTCTGCTGCAAGTTGCTTCTTGTTGAGGGCCTCAGAAACTTGAAGCGGATCAAGCAGAAAGCTCTGCTTCGACCGTAGCAGCACCAAAAGATGACCTCTCAAGACAAGCCCATAGAATGATGTCGAGCCATCTTCATGGGTGTCGATGACTGGGAAAGAGTTGTGGTTTGTTGTTCGGAGGGTATCGTAGATCCGCTCCACCCTCTCGACGCCTGAGAACTTTACCGGCTCAGAAACCAGGATGTCCTTAGCAGTGTAATGCCGCATGGCCTCCTCTGGATGAGCCTCCAGATACGGAATCCCCTTCAGCTGGTTGTGTGCATCGTAAATCCCGCTGTTGAACATGTCACCGACAGTCTTCGAAACCAGCAGCACAATCATGATAAGCGGGAGAAGCTTCAAGCTTCCTGTCAGCTCCA